CAGGACCCTCCCTGGAGCCGTTTTACCTGCCCGCCCGTCCTGGCCGCGCCCAGGCGCTCGTGTCTGAGAAGCGGCACGGTCAACAACACGTTCTGCCCCGCTCTGTGACTCGTTTGTGCCACCATCTCGAGTTGTTCGAGCCGAGCCACTAATAACATTCAATTCAATTCAACCTCGCTCATTAAGCTAGATAATTTCAGGAATCCTGTGAAATATGTAAAACATTATATTAGAGTGGGTAACATTCTCTTAAGAATAGATTGCGCCTCGGGATGAAAGCCAGGAAACTAGAGCAAGGTTATGTAATGCATTGCACGCAGAATAAACATTTTTTCAGAAAAGGAAATGCAAGATACCTGTTTATATTGAGCTATGATTGCAGTGCTAAAAAAACTTTCATAAAACCCTATATACTAAAGTACTGTATGAAAGCATAGTGCAGCATATAAAACCAGTAGACAGGAGGGATCAGTGGAAAAAACTTGAATTTCACTATATTTTTACATCTATGTAGGGGCTGATGTATTATTCTATATTTTAGAATGGCAGCAACATCACAATTCAATTTTAAAAAGGCTATTAATTATTTTTAATAGCAAATTTAATATTTTGCCTAGTAATTATTACTGTATATGTTACTTTAGCTTAACAGGCATTTGCTATTAATCATTTCGGAAGACCCAGAGTAGTGCTGTGCTACTGTTTCTAATAGTCTACTGGATTCTTCTGAGTATAAAAGTGCTAAGAAGCAGGGTACGTATTGCTTTTTTCTGTGTGTACATCTATGCAGAGTTGACAAACTTGTAAGTTTCCAAAGTTGTTGAAAAGTGAGTGGCTGGATGCTTTACTTCACAATGTACTGAGATGAGATGGTTCTGAGAAACTGACTAGGAGAACAGTCTGCACTGTGACTGGGGGAAAAACTTGTCTGAATTGGCATCCAAACTTAAACATTAGTCTTTTTACCTTTGTATAGAACTGTAACTAGAGTATTGTGACTGCATGACAGTAATACTGCTATGAAATACTTCTACTGGGGTGAGACAATCCTACCGAAGTGTATCTGCCAGGCTAAAGGCCATATAAATCTCAGGAAAGGGACAGAAAAAGAGATTAAATTATAAAGCATTTCAGTGCATGAAAATTTCATTTAAAGTCATGGCTCAAGTGAGGTGACAGCTCTGTAGACCCTAAATGAGTTAACTTCTCTTCAAGGAAGGAATTTATCAGATCATGTAGCACTTTCCATCAGGGAGAAAAAAAAAAACCAGAATGTGGCTGAGATTTATCTGGAGTCTCGCAGCCTAAGGGCTGAGTAAACCCTGATGGTATCCTTATTTTGGCTGGAAAGGTTACTGTCCCCAAGCCCAGCCCTGGAGCTTGTCCCATCTCTCCTTGTTAGAAGCGATCAATTAGATAGCAGTGTTCTGTTATTTAAGCTGTCAAATACGGGAAGGGCATTAGGGAGCATTAGTGTAAGTGCTCAGCCATCGTCTGTAGGACTTGCAGGAATCACAACCAAAGGTAAGGACTCATAGTAATTATTTTAGCTATTAAATTATTTTAGTGGGGCCGTGTTCAGCCGGGTGGAATTGTGAAGTTGGATGTTCAATGCTAAACCTCTTGTGCATCTAAACGAGGAAGGGATTCAGGTTAGTACTTTGAGTGTTTCTGACCACCAGAAAATAAACTGTGGCAGAAAAATGAGAATTCTCCAAGCATGTACGTAAACCACAACATTTTGTAGAAGCCCAGTACCTGTTAATTTTTTATGTTAATGTGTTTGGGTTAGAAGGCAAAAAAGGCTGTTTTTCTAATGCGTAGCAATTCCATCCTGTGATCTGAAACTCTCCCAACTTTTTCCATCACTAGTAATGATGAATTCTAATTACCTCTTAGTTGACAACTTTGTTGAGGAACGGCTGACTTGAACCCATTCCTGTCCTAAATAGGCATTTTGGCTCTGAAAGGATGACAGAAATAGAAAAGATGGTTTTGTCAGTGAAGTGCAACACTGTGTGTTTATTTTCGGTGGCTTCCTTGACTGTGAGAGGCTTCCCACCTCTCCTCTCTTTCCCTCTGCTACTGCTTTGTATCTTCACATGTACCTTGGTGTTTCATTTGCAGAGCTGAGCTGCACAGGACTAAGTAGGGTCCTCTGTTTTTGATAGGCATTGCCGAATCACCCCCCCATAAGTACCGAGTGTTTTCCTCAAGATGCAGAATAGCAAGGGTAGCTTATTGTACATTACTTCTCAAAACTCTTTATATAAATGGAGTACATTTAATACAACTGTTTACAGAGATGTCAAGGCTTTATTCTGGTTTTATTGTGGTTTAGGTAACTTTTAAGCTTATCCTTGAAGGCATGTAGATATGGACACATTGGCAAATTAAAGCTCGAGAAAATAGTTGAGTTTAGCAGCATCTAATAGCTAAGTTACTCCTGGACCATTATAAGTGTTATTACATGTTATCAGTTTTTGGCTGAACAAACAAGTCTTCTGCCTGCCATAGGCACTAAGGTTATGATTTTCCGGTCCTACATGGAATTGTGTTGCTAACAAACCAGTGTTGCAAATAGCGTGGAGAGCTCATGGAAGCAAACAAGTGGCTTAAGCTAAGATGCTACTTGCTAAATGCTTTTTGAATAGCTTTCCTCACACTTCAATTTGTTCATTATTAGATACTAAACCAGTTGGTGTTTAGACAAAAAAAAACCCCACAAAAATACAGTATTGAGGAGTGCTTATTTGTTGATTTTCATTCTGGAATTTAATAAAGGAGATATTTTCAGTTAACTTGCCGTAGACTTTATTTTTTAGGTACAAAACTACATTTACTATAACATGAATAAAAATTAAAATGGAATTAATTTAAAATTGATCTTT